CCGATCTGAGGGGGCCAAAGTTTCGCCCCCTATAGTCAGCGATGGAATCAGCTGACTATGCCGAGGCGCTGGTAGCCACAGCCACTCGGTCTTGGACGGGTTGAGTCTGAGTCTGTTCCTCCCCATCCAGACCCTCACGGCCTCCAGGCATCGGGCCATCACGTCAAGGGCATCGTTGGGGTGGCCCGGGGTGGATATGCCTAGGAGTTAAAAGACTTTAAGGGAACATAGAAATGAAAATGTATAATTAGATAACAGAATACCCGATTGAGTTTTGTTTATAATGATGATTATGTTCAAGCACAATAATCATCTGATGAATTTTAAACCTGAGAGTGCTGAATGGTATGGCAGGGTTAATATCCAAGAGCAGCAGAAGTGTACCATTGTTCCGGGCGCCCTTGTAGTAACGGTAGAATGAGAGTAGCCCAAATGTCTCAGCAGTGTGAGCACCAGAGGAACACACGCACACACACCGTTTCTCTGCATCCAGAGCTGCTGGGGCTTTACACTCCAAGCCAGAGGTGACTTCCTCAAGAACTGCTGGGGGTCAGAATGGAGGCCCTTCTGTGCTAGCAACTGCCAGTGCAGGGAGGTGGGAAGGCAGAGAATCTGACCGATTCACTGGCATGAAGCTTCGAGGTGAAGATTCCTAGCGGGTTGTGACTAGGAATGTGAGCCTGCGGGTGGGGCAGGGAGAGACCCTTCCAAGGCCCAAAGTTCCAGGGGAAGCCGAGCCAAGCCCAAGCGCCAGCCTGGCACTAGTGGGGGAACTGAAGCACATTCTCAGCCATTTACCCCCCTTCCTCCTGGCAGTCAAGGACGGGTGAGATCCTTACCCGAGTCAAAGTAGAGCAAGGCAGCCTGAGCAAGCAGAGTGTCGAAGCTCTGGGCTCTTCTCTAGAGCTGGGCGTCCGCTCTGGCCTCTCAGGGAGGACCAGGACCCTTGAATTATGAGGACACCAAGCTCATGATGTCAATCTCCAAGCAGCCCGTGCCCTTGTGTGAGTGTCAGAGGGCCGCTCTCAGCACCCAGCATTCAAGCCAGTGTGTAAATTGTGAGGATACGTGGCAGCTTCTCCAGCACGAGATCCGAGTGGGCTTTGTTTAAAGGAAGAGAGTCACAGCTGTGTAGAACGGCTGGAGTAGTGCAGAGAAGGCCACCCTGTTGTGGAATTCTTCATAGATCTTGGGACTTCAAGTCCAGAATTTGGAGTTTAGAGAATTCAAAGCCCCCAATATTGTGCATCTGGAAAACCAGGTTGGGAAAAGCTTTAGTAGAAAGTGTGTTTTTCTGGCATTTGACTTGAGTTCCTGAGAACAACTCTTCCCATTCAATCTCATTCGGTTCTTCTGTCCCAAGGCAAAGCACTGCCTCGAGTCTCTTGCCTGGCTGCACCAGAAGCCTCTGGCTTTGTTTTCAAAAAATGAGAAAAGTTTGAACTTCTGCCCCTTGGACATCCTTCTCCAACCGGCCACCCAAAGCTAAGCAATGTCTGCCACCCAGCCATCTCTTAGCTGCAGTGTGGGATTAATTGCTGTCTTGCTGCGCAGGATTCTTGGGTTAGTTGCCTTCAGCTGGCCAATTGTTTGAACTTTCAGGAACACTCTTAAAATCACAGGAGTAGGGGCAGCGGGTGGTGGAATTCTGCTTCTTCCTTCCAAGATGCATCATCGCACATGCAGCTCTCCTCTTTTCCAGAGGAGAAGGTGTCCGTCCCTCAGGTTTTATTGGGAGGACCGTGAATTAAAGAAGAGCTGAAGGGACAGCACTGTTGTTGATCTTCTCTGGTTGACCATTCCCAAGACCCAGCTCACTGTTTCCCCACCTTGGCAGCTTGAAGTAGATGGACTTCAACTCCCAGCATGGCTGGCTGGGAAACTCTGGGAGTTGACATCCACACATCTTCAAGTTGCTAAGGTTGGAAAACTGACTTAAGAGAAAGAGATTTTTCCCTGTTTCTTCCTTGAAAGGCACCTGAAGCACATCTGATGATCATACACACTGGAAGCGATGGGAGTTGTAATCGAACCCATATCTATGGCAAAGGAGATGCTGCCTGTTTGACTGGAAAACGCCTCTTAAGAGTTACTTTGCCACATTCTTTGGCCACTTCCAGAGATGTGAATGTGTTAGCCTGTGGCAACAACCAGGGGTTGTGGGATTTGAAGTCTGCAGCATTCATGGGAGAAATAGCTGGATGTAGAAGTAGGAGAGTCTGCTCTGAACTTGAACTCAGAACTCCCCAGCACAGTCCCCTGACTCGGCTCGGTGGCTCATTTTCTTCCCAAATCACTTTGTTGACAGCTATCCAAATGCTGGGATGAAGCAGCTGAACAAGCACCAGAAAAAAAATGGAGCCCAGGTGAGTAAGTGGTTGTGGGTGGACCAAATGCAGAGGGCTCAACTGCCAGGAGAAACTTTTGGTCCAGAGGCCTTCTTCTAGTTTCAAAGCTTTGTATTGTGCACCAAATATAATAAAAGCAACCTAAAAGAGGGAGTTCTGTGTAAGGAGATGGGCAAGCCAGGATCTTCTAAGGCCTTGAGCCTGTTGGGCTTGGACTTTGGAGCCGGCTGGGGAATTCTGGGAGTTGAAGTCCATGCACCTTAAAGGTGCTCAGATGAAGAAACATAGCCGTAGAACCTACAAAGGACAGATAATGGTGTGTTCTGGTTGCTGCTGTTGATGACGATGATGTTTTGGCATTCAGAATTATCCAGGTATTCCTCAGAAGGTGATGGTCACGGCAGGATGGAAGCGGCAGACAAACCTTCCTTGTGTTATCCAGTGAGTGACTCTCCTGTCCTTGGAAATTCTCTCTCAGATTAGTGAAGGAAGAAATGGGGAAGGTCAGGGAAGGAGGCGACGGGGTTTGGCGTAGAGGTTAAGGTAGCAGACTAGAAACCAGGAGGCGGTGAGTTCTAGTCTCCCCTTAGCCGTGAAAGCTGGCTGGGTGACTTTGGGCTAGTCACTCTCTCTTTAGCCTGATGCATATCACAGGGTTGTTGCTGCGGGGAAAATACGAGGAGGAAAAGCTATTAGGTATGTTAGCTACCTTGAATTACTTAAATTATTTAAAAAATAATAAAAAAAATCTTAACAAATAAATAAACGACTAACTAAAGGCAGAATTGGCATAGTTCTTTGTCTCTGAAGTTTATTCAATTTATATCCCCAGGACCTACATCCTTAGTGCCCCCGACAGCCCTGGAAAGAGGCAATCCTGAGGGGGGCTGTCCTCGGCCAACTCAGGGGGTCTTTCTTCCCTGTCTTGATCCAGCCCTAAAACTTTTCCTGACCAGAAAAAAGATTAGCAAAGCCATTGGGAAATAAAGGTGGGGCTATGAGCGAGGGTCCAAACACTTGTCCCCTCCTCCAAGTAAAATCCTGCCAGAATCCTGAGCTGGTTAGCAATGTGAAGTATAAATACAAATAAACAAAAACCCAGAGAAGGCTGGAAATTCTCTCTGCCTGTGGTGGAGTCCAGAAATTCCTTCGTGTCCCATTCGCATAATTTTAGGGAGTCCAGACCCTCGCATATCTGAATGAGAGGGAGAGGGGAGTAGTTGGGAGTGTGCAGGGAAGAAAGCTGGCATCTCTGCTTCTGCCGTTCCAGTGTTTTCCGCAACGGAGACTTGCTGAGCCCCCCCCTCCGAATGGTGCTGGCCAGGGGCGCCCTGCAGGAATGGGGCACCGTCCTTGGCCGCTTGTCAGAAAAGGCCAACCTGTGCACGGGACCGGTGAAAAAGTGAGTCCTGTCAGCATTTTTTACCATCCTTTTCTATTTCTTTTGGGGGTGGTGGGGGTGGAAATCAAAGGCTCTGCCGTCCCTTTGCTACCCCAGAACTAGGCTACTCCAACCCCCCAAGGCTGGAGGGGGCTGCCTCCTGGGGGTCTCTCTGCATTGGGGCCCTGCACTTAGCCCTGGCTCCAGAGGAATGGAGGGACCTTGTCTTGGGGGGGGGCATTGTTGGGGGGGAGTTCTCTGCTCAGGGAGGTTGCTTCACGATGGTGTGCGACAGCTGAGAGCTTTCTCTGCCCAAAAGCAGCTCAGCTTTACTTAACTTATTTTTATCCCGGCTTTACTATTTTTATAAGTAACTCAAGGCAGTGAACATATCCCACACACCTGCCTCCTCCTGTTTTCCCTACCACAACTACCCTGTGAGGTGGGCTGGGCTGAGGAGAGAGGGACTGGCCCAAAGTCCCCCAGCCGGCTTTCATTGCTGAGAAAGAACTTGAACCACTTTCTAGTCTGGTGCCTTAACCGCTAAACCCAACCGGCTCTATTTATACTGCTTTAACTGTCATAACTTCAAATTAAATAATTCCAGGTTTTTGGCAGAAGGACTGAGAGTCTGAAAAAGGAATCTCAGTTTCAGGGAAGGGGAAATCCTGTAAACAATCTTTCTTCCAAGGCAGATGCAATTCTTATGAACAGAGTCTCTCTGGATTCCTTTTGCCTATATACTGCTCATGTATGGTTCAATGTACTTTACTGTGAGAGCAGGCACCTTAGCCGAGGGGGCTGGGGCAAATTGGCTTTAGCAACACACCTTCTTTCCACAAAAGGCTGAGCCAAAACAAAGAAAACCACCGGACGGCTTCATGTTATGTCAGAAATGTGGCTGAACAGGAAACGGGCTCTTTAGTGTCACTCATGAGGAGAAACAGCCATCAGGGCTTTGGTTAACTAGGTTTTGCATAAGGGTGGCTGTGGGAGCCAAGTCCACCTGCAAGACAGAACAGAGGGGTCACTGGGTTCAGTTTTGGGTTTTCCTAACCCAAAGCTTTCTTAGTCTAGGGGCGACAGGATAGCAGGATTCCAATATTTGAGCGGCTGCCACAAAGAAGTGGGGAGGGGTCGACTTATTTTCCAAAGCACCAGAAGGCAGGACAAGAAGCAATGGTTGGAAACCTCTCTTTGATCAAAGAGAGAAGCAACCTGGAATTAAGGAGAAACTTCCTAACAGTGAGGAGAATTAACCGGGGTAACAGCTTTGCCTTCAGAAGTTGGAGGTTTTAAGAAGAGACTGGACAGCCACTTGCCTGAAATGGTCTCCTGCCTGAGCAGGGGCTTGGACTTTCACTAGAAGACCTCCAAGGTCACTTCCAGCTCTGTTCTGATTGGGTTAGTAGTTCCCTCTTCAGTCTTTAAACAGGAGGAAACTTGTAGAACAGGGGTCCCCAACCTTGGCAACTTTAAGTCAGAATTCCCCAGCCAGCCTTGTGTCTTCCTCAGATTCTTCCCCCTTTTCTTGAACCTCTTTCTGCCTTGCTCTTCCTGCCAGGCTCTGCAAGCTGAACGGTGACCTCATCTCCCAGGGCGAGGAGCTGGTGAACGGCGAATACTATGTGGCTGTGGGGCTGGAGAAGTACAAAGATTTGCCTTACTTTGAACTACTGGTGCCTCCCAAAATCCCTCTCCGTCCCTTTTGGTAGGCAACTGAGGTGCCTCTGCTTAGCTCAGCTTTTTCAGTTGGCGAAAGATTGATTTAAATGGCAGCCAGTCTGGCACATGTCCAAAGGGCTGAATCAGTGTGACTGAAATGCAGCAGCAGGCTCCTTTGTGCAGAATACAATCCCTTAGAATAAAATTTTTAAAAAAGCAGTATTGACCTCATCTGCCCAAACACTTTCTCCGAGTACCTCTGTTCCTCCAATCGCCCTTGTTTAGGGGATGTTGGGGGAGGCCATAACTTGTGTTCTCTGAGGGTGAAATAGGGATTGAACCGTGGTGTCAATGGTTTTTACTGTAACATCCATAGTAACAGAACCTTGCAAGTGTGAATACGCTTCTCTCTCCCTTCCTTCAGAAGAACTAGAGAGGATCTTGTCTGAGAGACACTTTCTCCGGCTACAGTTCTGGCCCACACTCGGATTTCTGTTATCCGTTATCCCAGTAGCAGCCCTCCCTCCTGTTCCTCACGGTTATCCCTTCTGCCCATTACACTGCACGGTATCTCAGTGAGGTAGGAAAAACATCTCTGTGTGCTCTGGATATGAACGTCTGCTTTTCTACTTACAGGAACTTCCCTACTAACAGAAGAAGGAACTACAATCGGGGGGTAAGTAGCCACGATGGCTGATTTCCTAAGGCAGCCCCTGTGTGAAAAGGAGCAAAGATACTTTGCATCTGGAGAAGAAGAGTGATGTGTAAATGTTCCTGTTAGATTTTTTTTAGCAACCAGAGTGGGGATCCCCCCCCCCCAAAAAAACAAACGTGCTTCATGGGTTACCTCCCAGCACGACAGAAGTGACCAAAACCTGCTGCCTCCACCCAGCAGATCTGTACAACATTATTACATTTCACTGGTATTTCTCTAATGCAGGGGTTCCTAACCAGGGGTGCTCGCACCTCCTGGGGGTGCGAGACGATATTCCAGGGGGTGCGAAAACTTGGGTTTTCAAAATTATAAGTGTATATGTATAATTTGTTGCCGTTATTTCGAACTTTTGTAAGGGGTGCGAGAATATATCAGAAGCGTTCTAGGGGTGCAGAGCATAGAAAAAGTTGAGAACCTCTGCTCTCACGTCTTACTAGTTTTTGTTTCTGCATTAGTCAAGACCAGAACCAGCAAAATCTTAAGATGTCATTTACCTGTTTAGTTATTTCTACTCACTTCTATTCTCTCCAGGTGGCCTCTGAAGACAGAGCCAGCGACTCGGCACTCCTTGAGCCAATGCAACAGGTAAAGTGAAGCAGCGATTTTGGAGAGCTTAGTCTGCCAAACTGGACTTAAATAAAAAAAGTTCAGGATTTAATGTTTCATGTTGGCTAAGAGTAGGATTCCGTATTCTGAAATACCTCTACATTACATTATACATACATAAAAACACTGAAGTTTCTGCCATAAAAACCTCATTTTGGGGAAAGTACTGTTTTTTTCTCCACCATAAAAAGCTCGGTGTACTAAATTCATGAATATTGTGGGTCCGCTTGTGTGTACTGGAAAGCCCAAGCAGTTTAACAAGTTGCCTTGCCTGCATCTTAAGACCTCCAGCGGATTGGTAGGAAATAAAGTGGAAATACGATTTCCTAAGAAATGGGCTCTTACCAATATAACCTAAAATCCTTACACCTACCCCACAGTGCTGATTTTTGTTCAACTTGTAATCAGCAGGAGTTTGTGGGTGTCCAAAAAGTCAAGATAGCAGCTACAATTGCCTAATCAAAGTTCTTTTTAAAAATACAGTGCACATTAAAACAGAGGGGGCAGAACTTTGATTTGTAGCCACAGCTGCCCTTTTGACTTTTCCAAATGTCTTGCTTTTTTCTTCTAATATTTTTTTATTAAAAGAAGGTTTTACATTGTTAAGTGGATCGTCACGCGACCAGCCTGATTTTATATTTTTTGTGGCAGTTGTTAATAGAATCGTAATGTTTTTTTAATTGAATCTGTGGTTGGTAAGTGGATCCATTGGCCATGATGGGCATTTTTTTGATGGAAATTGGAAGTAAACATCAGTTTGTTGCAAAAAAAAGTCAATTGTGGTTATGTGACTATAGGATGCTGTAAACAGTTATAAATGCAAGTCAGTTGCTGAGCAACCGAAATAACAATCATGTGACTTGGGAAATGGGGGGGCAGCCATTGTAACTTCAAATCTGAGTCCTGAGTACCTGTTTTGGGGCCCATCCTAACTTCAAATGGTTGCTAAGTGGTTGGTCATAAGCTGAGGACTACCTGTAGTAATAATGTTGCCTTTTGCAAACTACGGAGCTTTGTGAAAATCAGACACGCTTCTTTGGGCCTTGTGGATTCCTCACATCTGGCTTTGGGGCAGTGGGCCTTAAGATCCCGAAGCGCTGGGCCGGATGACCCTGTCCTAGAGCAAATGTGGGGAAGCGGCTTCCCATCAAAGGAAGCTTGGATTCCTTGTCCCCCTTCCTGACCTGTCTGGAGTTGAAATCTCACAGCAGAGACTCCCCAATGGCTACAGATCCCAAAGCAGGGGACCTGCGGCATATTTTCTGCAGGAAATTGATTTTTTTTCCTGCATGAAGAGAGAGGATGGGGGGGGGGACTTTGAGAGGATGGAAACAGGAAATGCTGGGGATGTTTGATGATGATTTGAAGTGGCCAGGACTTACATCTGAAAGGCCCTGATGAACATTCCTTGAACTTCCAGATGAAACTTTGGCGGGTGCATTCCACAGGGATTGTGCCTGCAGGAGACCCTCCCCGTCCCTCCGAGTCCAAGCCAGCCAAGAAATACCCTCACCAAGACAAAGCGACATCCGTCTTCCACGCCAAGCCAGGCCAGGTTGGACAAGAGCGCCAGGTCCCTGGCAACTATTTCACCCGAGGTAAAAATAAACGGGAAAGAAAGAGCACCTTAGAGACAGAGTGGGCACTGTGACGGGTAAGGGGGCTATGGTGATAGTGAGCGACTTTGGCCACGCTGCCCGTCAAGTCAGCCCCTGGAGGGCATCAGGCTGGGGCGACAGTCCAGGGTCTCTGGGGAGTTTCAAGGCCCATCATGCCGGGCCATCCAGTCAGGCATTTTTTTCCAGAGGAAGCTGTCAAATGAATGTTAAGCAGGCAGATTACACACGGGGGATAATCTTTAATTATTATTAGAACAACTGACAGGCTGAGTTTGCACACAATGACACACTACAATGTGGTTGACTCCTGTGTGGCTTGTGTAGAGCAGATGGTAGCCTCAGGTGTTCTTGGAGAAAATAACAGAATTAACAGACACAAGTTTGATTTGGGGCTCAAAACAAAATAATTCAGAGCGTTGCACTCTCCCAGGAGAGTGAACCCCATGACTTGAACCCCACGACTGAGTGAGAGATTGAAACTTTCTGGGTGAATCCCAACAGGAAGGAAACCAACTAGCCAAGCGCTACGTCCTGCTGGTCAGAAAGCAGCACGCTGGATAAAGGAGAATATTTGCACCTCCGGGGTGCTCTCTGAGCTCGGCGGGGTTTTTTTTGCAGACATTTTAGGGCCCAACTAGGTACTGTAATATCATCAGTGCCCTTGGAGCTTGGGTGTCAATGCGACACCGATTGTGTTCCCTAGTCTGGGTCATGAAAACGGCCAAGCTTAGAGAACACCAGGGACCTCATCAAAAGAGGGATGAAAGCTGATCTGTAGCCACCGTCTGGGTCTGGCGCTTTCAAAGCGCAAGGAAGGAAACCGCTCTGGGAAGGGCACGTTATTCACCAGGGATCTCGTGTCGCCCTGTCTTTTATTTTTTCTTCAGAAGACGAAAGCGTTTATAAAAGGAGAGGGGCAAGGCAGGAGATGGCGGATGCGCAGGAAATAGGAGAAGACGAAGACACGCAGGTTGAGTTGCCGGTGGACCAGGTAAGGAGGGTCTCTCAGGCCATGCGTGAGCAGCCTCTCCCCCCCAAAAGCAGGGGGGGGACTCTAAGACCAGGGGACCTCATCTCCCAGAATTCCCCAGCCAGCATGGACACCCCTGAGAGTGAGGGGTGACCTGAAGACCTGGTGCACAGGAGTTGACCTCGCAATCGGCAGATTTGGACCGCTTTTGCAAGGAAGATCCTTGGGCAAAGATCCTCAAGGCAAGATTGCCAGGCTGACCCCAAAAGGCTGAATGTTGTCATAGAATCAAAAGGAGCTCCAACGAAGTATTAGTTTAAGGATATGTACACTCATGCAGCCACGTTATTATGAATGTCCATGGGGATTCTCAGCCATCCAGGCCATGGTTGCCCCGATGCTGCTTTTGGAAAAGGCAATTGGACTTCCTTGGTTTTTGCTTAAAGGCATTTTTCTTCTTGGATGAGAAATAAAACAAGGAAAAACAAAGTCCAAGTTGCCTTTTGAAATCGCACCTTGGGACATATTATTATAAGTTTTTGTATTTTTATTTCTTCCCCTAAAAGATTTCAGTTTATTTTTCAATCAAATTGTACTGCTTATAGGTTATGTCCATGGTGGCGAACCTATGGCATGTCTGCCACAGGTGGCACGCAGAGCCCTTTCTGTGGGCACGCGCGCCGTCGCCCCAGTCCTAGGATTCAGCTGGGTTTTATAAAACCTTTTCGCTTTAGGCCTCTGCCGCCGTGTGCAAAAAAAAAGTTCAATCAATCAATCAATTTCAACTCACGGGAAAAAAAAATCGCGCAAAGTTGGAATTCATTGATTGAACTTTTTAGTCCCACCCAGTCTGCCGTTACCACCGCAGCCACGCCCACCCAATGGGCCACACCCACCCAATGGCCCACTCCCACCTGGCACCTGATGATACATAAGTGGGTTTTGGGTTGCAGTTTGGGCACTCAGTCTCTAAAAGGTTCGCCATCACTGCCCTAAGTGGAATTTTCCTCCAATGGGATTTTCCCATGTATTTTACCAGGAAACATAGATAGGGCAGGCTAGAAAAGTCAATGTCCTCCTAACCATACCCAAACACTCCGTATTTGTTGGCAATGTCCATTTTGCTCTATGAGTTCATGGTGACCTAACCCTAACCCTAAGTGGAATTTTCCCCCAATGGGATTTTCCCATGTATTTTACCAGGAAACATTGATAAGGCATCCCAGAAATGTCAGTGCCTTCCTAACCATACCCAAGCACTCCGAGTTTGTTGGCAATGTCCATTTTGCTCTATGAGTTCATGGTGACGTAATCCTAACCCTTATGTTAAAGGTGGAAAAAATTCTGAAGTGAGTTATCTTGCTATGATTTTTTACATCTCAAAAATCTGGCATTTTAAATCCACTGGAGACTAACCATAGGAGCTGGATTATCATAGCTAAACCACAACTACAAGCTAAGATTAACAGTATCGAAAGCACTAACTGATCTGCTTCAGTATACAAATACATCACCCAGAACATGGTCTGTGGGTCAGTATTAACGGGGTGGGCAGCTTAGTAACTTTGGAAAAGACTATTTGCTTTTATCAAATATGTTTCAGGGCTTTTCTCCCTGAAGAACTGTTTTCCCCAGACCTTTGTCATCTTTGTAGTTAGCTGAGGTCAGATGTTTCCTTTGTCTACTCTGAAGTCACACTAAGTAGAACTTCCTGCCTGGTTAGAGTGGAGTATTCCCATCTTTTTTTTTGTTCTGCCGGCTGACCACACGTGGCCTGAGTGCTTGTGCTTTTCCCTCCCCCCCCCTCCAGAAAACTGCAGAGATTGTGGAAGAGGAAGTTATATCAAAGACCAAAGGAGGGCCATCCAAGAAGGTAATTAACTTGCATTCATAAACAGTTTAATCAAAGCGCTGGAGGGAAGAAAGAATAATGACGTTTATACAACTGATTCATTTTAGTTTGCTGCAGTGAATGAAACTGTGCATTTATGTAAAAACAAGCCAACTTAAAGGAAGTGCAGTCTGTGGAGTCCTTGGTACTCTCTGGGCTCAGTTTTCTTGCAGACATTTCATTGCCCGGCAAGATAACATCTTCACGGTGTAGAAGGGAGTGGATTTGCTCCTTGCTCCAGTCCAAGGACTTTAACCCTGAGCTACCCATGGTCTCTTCTACTGAACTGCAATCTATTCAGTACAGAACAAACCAGACATTCCAGCACAAGCTCTTCCCCGGGATTGAGCAGCGGTCTGCTTCCACATCATCTTGGTGCTCCTTCCCAGAGTGCTTTAAATAGACGTGTTCAACAAACCTGTCATTTTTCATTCCTTGTACAATGACAAGACTTTCTCCTCTTTGTAGTGCTTGTAAGTGAGACAGAAGCTTCATTTGAAACTCCTGGATCGAAGAAATGATTCAAATGAAACAGGCCCAGCAAGCTTTGCCGGAGGGAATGTCTTGAACCAAACGTACGGTAGTTTTGTGCAATTTTTGTCTACAGAATTTGTTCTTGCAATAAATGTAGAATCTCTCTGATTTGAAATCCTTATCTGAGACAAGATTCCGGTAAGGGGGAGGGGGGGGGGAGAAACAGGCATGGTGACTGAGGGCTGACAACGGTTCCAAGTTTAATTCAGAGGCCACCAATATGGCATCAGGTAAAGAAGGTGCCAACAGATTTTAGATCTTAGAGTGGTAAAGGGCTTGTCATGCAAGCAAACTGGCACTATTCATAGGTCAAAGGGAGGGAGTAGCAGGAAACCACAGAGGGTCTAGGACTTTTTGCCTCTACCACGTGCTCGTGCCCCCTTCGGCCCCACCCTCCAGCCACAGCCAATTGACAGAGAGTGTCCAGACAAATGGGACATCACGTGTGCATGTGTGTGCCTTCCACTCATGCAAATAGAGTTGCATGTGCGAGTAAACATGCCTGCTGCTTGTGTGGAACCATTTCCTCTCCTCTCTCCCCCCTCTCCCCTCCCCTGCAGGTCCGCAAAGCCAGAAAGGTCGGGGAACACTGTTTTAGGCTTTGTGTATCGCTTGGTTCTTGTGGTTGATGTTTTACATATTTTGTTGCCCAAGGTCACTATGGTGATATGAGCAGCCATGCCAATTTATGTAAATCAGTGACACGTTAGCTAATTTCTGGCTATGAGGCGGGAAGAAAATGAGGAGTTTTCCTCAGAGTTCAGGTGAGGGCAGTACAAGAGCACCTTTAATGTACAGTGTTTTATATACATGATAAATAATAGCAGCAGTTGTGGAAAAAGCATTTTGAAGGAACGAAGGAGTTCTCCAAACGAGTCTTCTCTTTACGATCCTTGGTTTCCTCTTGCAGCCGTTCTCCAGCACAAGTCCCGTGTCTTTCGCTGAGCCCTCCTCGCGAGTCAGTCAAAAGACCATCTGGATTGACCAGGAAACCGCTGCTTCTTTCTCACCCTTCTTCACGCCCATTACTTCCTTCTACTCTTTACATCCCATACTGAGCTGTGGCTCTTTCTCAGCTATGGCTTCTCCTCAAGCATCTACATCATTTCAACAGCTGAAAGACTTCTTCTGTGGACCGTTGGCAGCTTAGGAGATGGTCTGCTTGGACCTTCACTGACTGAATCAGTAGCCAAAATGGCACCAGAGTTCTCGGTAATGGAGACGTGGGCCTTCCTGCCCAGATTGCTGAGCACCACTGTCTTTTGGGGTACCAGATTGGGGAGTTCAGTAAATACCGGAGGTATGAATAGAATTTGTAGCTCAAGGTTGAACGGTGGAGTCCTTGGTACTCTCTGTGCTGGCATTTCCCCACTGGGCAGCGTCACCAGTACTAGTGGATGTTTGGTTTGCTCCCTGTTGGTGTACAGTAGCTTGCACTGCCAGTGTTGATGGGGGTGTAGTTTTTCTCCTTGGTAGTTCCTTAATTAGGGTGCTGTTTTCCGCTTGGTTGCTTGTCTCAGGTTAATACCTACTTATCTGGGTGTTGGCTGTTAGTGAAGATGTGTTCTGGTTTGTTTGTTTCCTGGTTAGCCTTTTCTATTGGCTGAATAATATATAAATAGGGAGATAAACACACCTCACAATCACTAGCCCTGATGAGGTAACTTAGTTGAGTAAGGAAAGACCTGCACGTAAACAACCAAAGTCAGACAGCACCAAGGATTCCACACGTCTTGGAAGTGATAAAAAAATTACCCTCCAAGACTCTTCTTTTAGGATGGGAGGAGCAAGCTGCAGAAGTAGGTGTACTTGCAGATGGATCCATTTTGGCAGTTCCTTCCTTGTAGACCCTCCCAATATGGGTTCATGTTGCTTTGGTGCAGAAATTGAAGATGCTTTGAGATTTTTTTTTCTTTTAAAGATTCATGCACACGTAGTCCATTAAATCTTGAGGAAGAAATGGAATGATCTGCATGTGCTCAAGGACCACGTCAAGGCCAGGGTGAGCATAGCAGGAGTACACCAAAGAAATCCTGCAATATGTAAGAAAAAAGTCAAAATTTGGTGGAAAGTGGTAGTTTTGGAATGAACACAGCACCACCTCTGGCAGCTGAGGCATGTAAGCGATGCAGTCCAGATAATCAGGAAACGTGGAGATCCGGCAGGCAGCTGTTGCGACCAACAAACTTTGTATATCAGTGACAAAAGAAGCCACCGGGGAGGAGGATGTCCATTCTAGGGCTGTGGCTCCTCCATTCCGATCGGAGCAGAAGTCATGAGAACAGATGATACTCAGCAGGACTGAACAGGCCTAACAGTTGCAAAAAGATGACGCAAAAGTGGTGCTGGGGGAACTTACAGCTATCGGCCTGCATCTACAGCCCTTGTAGCACCATGAGCCACACCCTGCAGGTTGCGAGGGGTGCAGTGTTTGTATTCTGAAGGTGTAGAAATGTTAAATGTGTTAAGGCACCTAATTTTTACCTAATCTTCGAACTTTCTAGCACCTCCAGGTAGGCTGTTTCCCAAAAACTGGAGACGCCCTCAGGTCATCTCAATGCCTTTGGCAGCTTCTGAAGCAGAAACAGAAGTGAAAATCCAATATACGCACCTTCCCTGAGGTTGCCTTCTGCTCATCTAAACCATTCTGCTCCAAACTTGGCAACTTTAAGACTTGTGGATTTCTTGGCTGGCTGAGGAATTCTGGGAGTTGAAGTCCACAAGTCTTATTTGCAGAGCCCTGATTTAAACTAAAGCATGTCTGCTTCTGAGTCTGGAGAACTGTGACTCCGCCCTGGGAACATTGCCTATCCTTCCCGCCTTCCTGGCCAGGAGGATATAGTCTCTATAACAGTGGTTCTCAACCTTTTTAATGCCGCGACCCCAACCGGTCGTAAGTCGAGGACTAAACCGGTCATAAGTTGAGGACTAGACCGGTCGTAAGTCGAGGACTAAACCGGTCGTAAGTCGAGGACTACCCAACCGGTCGTAAGTCGAGGACTTTCCCTGCCCGGGAGCGCCGCACATGCGTGGTTCCGCCTCCTGCGCCGGCCGAGGCGTAGCTGGCAAGCGGCAGAGACGGAGCAGGCCGACCACCAGCTGGCCCAGCCCAAGGGAGGTAAGGCACCCGCCGGAAAAGGGGGAAAAAATGGCGGACAGCCTTGCTTGGCGACCCCCATGAAATGGTCGATCGACCCCAAATGGGGTCCCGACCCACAGGTTGAGAACCACTGCTCTATAAGGATATAGTCCAAAAGACAAAATAATGGCTGGCCAGACCTCTCCGGGAGGAGAAGGAAGAAGAAAAAGAGTAGACTGTTCTCCCTGCAGCCCTGGGACACCAGCTGGGCCCTTACAGCCTTCGGAAGTTGCAGAGGCCTTCATTCCCGTCAATTTTCAGGCCCTGAAGCAGTGGGAAATCCAGCAGGGCCCCGTCCAGGAAAACCGTCTCCTCTTGGAAGCTGGAGGGCGTCTCTCGCTTGGGCTGGTCGCTGTGGAACCAGAGGTTCTTGTAGGGCTTCGGGCTGGGGCTCAGGCTGTGGAGCAGAGGCTGCCTGGAGCTGGAGCGGATGTAGATGGTGGGCGAGGCTTCTTGCTGACCGTGGTAGCTGCCCCCCAAGACCTTGGCATACTGAACAGGCTCTGGGTTATTCATGTAGGAGGTTGGCCCTGAGCCCCCGGTGGGCACGGCTCCTTTGGCTTTGCGGGCACCAGAGTCGGAGAGGGCTGCCGGGCTGTCCTCCGTGGCCGGGCCGGGCTCGCTCTTCCCACAGGAGAGGCACTTCTTCTCCTCGGCTTCGATCACGAGGAAGGCAGACACGATGACGGGGCTGAGCTCGCACGGCTTGGGGGCCTGCAGGGTCTCCTGTGGGAAGAAGGCAGGAGGAGGAGAAGGGGCGGTTAAGGACGGCCAGGTGGCCACTAAGGGAAACTAGTCCTGGCTGAGTGCAAATGGGGGCGGGGGGTTCTGCTGGGGATGATCATTTCTAACATCTTCATTTAAAGCAGTGGTTCTCAACCTTTTTAATGCCGCGACCCCCAACCGGTCGTAAGTCGAGGACTAAACCGGTCGTAAGTCGAGGACTAAACCGGTCGTAAGTCGAGGACTACCCAACCGGTCATAAGTCGAGGACTTTCCCTGCCTGGGAGCGCCGCGCATGCGTGGTTCCGCCCCCTGCGCTGGCCAAGGCGTAGCTGGCAAGCGGCAGAGACGGAGCAGGCCGACCACCAGCTGGCCCAGCCCAAGGGAGGTAAGGCACCCGCCGGAAAAGGGGGAAAAATGGTGGACAAAAAAAATGGCGGACAGCCTTGCTTGGCGACCCCCGTGAAATGGTCGATCGACCCCAAATGGGGTCACGACCCATAGGTTGAGAACCGCTGATTTAGAGGTAGACTATCATGGGGCAGGGAGGCTTTACGGGTAGTCCTTGCTTACCGACTGCCTTATTTAGTGACTGTCTGAAGTTACAATAGTGGAAAAAAAATAGTTTTGTGACCTGCCCTCATAACTCACCTGATGGCCATTTGGGTGCTTCACAACTAGGTTGCCCCAAGCAAAGTTAACAGAGACTGGAGAAATGAAAGCCAGTTTGATCTAGTGATGAACGTAGCAGGCGAGAAAGTGGGAGATGGGGAGTTCTAGTCCCGCCTTAGCCATGAATGCCGGCTGGGTGACTTTGGGACAGTCCCTCTCTCTCAGCCCAGCCCACCTCACAAGGGTGCTGTGATGGGGGAAATCGGAGGAGGAAGGAGTCTCAGGGATGCTCCTCACCTTGAATTATTTGTAAAAATAATAAAGGTGGGATACAAACAAACAAATAAATAAAATGTCAGGGGCCCCTCAGAGGCCGGTTCAGAGGAGGAAGGGTTGGAGCTGGGACCGCCCGATGGGGAAGGCAAGCCGAGGGCTGAGGATGAGGCTGGGGAGACGCCAGTTCTTGGCTGAAGCTGAGAATAGCTTGCGCTGCATCATGTGGTCATTGTAAGAGTAAAAGGAAAGGACTCCACTGAACCTCCCGAGAAAAGGTTGGAGAGAAACGCACAAATAAACGGAAATAAAGCTCCTTTAGCCTATGCAAGCTCTGCTTTGCAACTGATCTGGGCTGCATTTTACCTCCGGATGCCCTTATTATCTCTGTATGCAAAACTCATTAGCACTGAATGATAATCAATGCATTTGGGCCCAGTACTTTGTATGAACACAGCTCAGGTAATTAGTTTGGGGCTCAATGTGTTGTATGAACCCAGAAAAGAGGGTTAATTGAGCTGTCGATCAGGACACATTTTGCAAACCCAGCAAATGAAAATGGGCAGGGTCGCTCCTGCAGTGGTGCCGATACATCTGGCTGGGTGGAAGGTTCATAAAAGCAGCTGCTGCTGCTGTGGAAGGAAGGAAGAGCAGCTGCCTGTCTCTGTGGCTTCCAGGCTTACCTCCTGCAGAACGGCGGGGGCCCATTTGCCCAGGCTGCTGTTGGCTGGGTCAGGGACGCTGGGCCAGAACTGCATCTTCATCCTGGGGGTGAGTTGGGGAGCGTGGAGGGAGAGAGAAGCACCTGGTTAGTCTGGAGCTCTGATGGCTGAGAGGAGTCAAGCTCTCCACCTGGATATTGGCCATTCCCTATTCTGCTCCTGTCTAATATGTGAATCAATGCAACCTCTCAACACAACGCATCAACACTGGATATCTGGAACATGGGTCAGGGAATTTTCTTTCAGAACAAGTAGCTACTTAGAAGGGAAATTCTGTTACACATATATACAACACACAATCTACAACACACACACACACATACACACACATAGGATTTTCTTTCTGCTTTGCCTCTGGCCTCCACTCCACTGTCTCTGGCTAAGTCTCTCTGCTATCTCCTGCATTTGCCCATGGGAATCTAAACTCGGGTGCCAAAGCAGCTTCTGACTTGCTCCTCCACGTACCTTTTGCTCTTCTGAAAGCAGATGACCATGCCGATTATCATGGCCAAGAGCAGCCCAATGACTAAGTACACAATGGTGATGTCCAGGTATTCTGGAAGAGAGAGCAAGGTGTTGGATATGGGTGGATTAGTGGCCATCTTCCACACATGGAACTAAAGTGGAACACACTTGTGGGTCCTGTTCAGAGAGTGTGTGCCCAGGGCCAATTGGCTGCATTGTCGTGTCTGCTGCTCCTTGGCCAAAGTAAAAATGAACTAGTACATCATCAAGTGATAATTTGTAGGTGTAAAAAATGGATGTGGAGCTAATTCATGCAGGCAGAATTGTTCCTAAAAGGAAGAAGGAGGTTGTGCAATTTGGCCTTTACAGGTAGTTCTTGACTCATGATTCTCCAAGCTTTGCTCGACTTGGAGAATGAGCCGTGAGAATGCTGGAGGTGGCGGCAAATGGCCAAGACTGCGGAAGGCCCCGGGCCTCTACTTCAGGCCCGCCCCTACCGCTGCCACCATCCCTGCACTGTGGGGTCAGGCTGGGGTGGCTGAGGCTTTGCACCTCACTCGGTACTCCCAACTCATATGCAGCTTGTGCTGGACCTCCCAGAGCATCTCCCACACCCCTTGAGATAGCTCCATGGTCCTTACCTGGGACTCTGCTAAACCACCTGCAAGATTGTTTAACAACCACAACCAGGAGCGCTTGGGATAGCAGTCGTTGAGAAAAACGGCCATGTAACAATCGCTTTGCTCAACGACCAACATACGGTCCCAACTGTAGGTGTAAGTCAGAGACTACTTGCACCCTTTACACCTCTAGGAAAATCCTGCACTCTCAAAACAGCTTATTGACTTATAAGCCTAACAATTTTTGCTTTCCATTTCCATGGCCCCAGTTAAATTTCCCAACCTCCAGCTGCCAGGGCTGTCCTTACCCATGTCCTTGGTGGTGATCGCAACACTGGTCCCATTGGTGCTCCCAACCATCGTGGAGGCCATGAGATGTAGGCTGTACATCGTTGAAGGCCGAAGACCTGAGATGGTGAGGATGTCTACAGAAGTGTTCACAGCAATACCTGGAGAAAAACGCTTTGTTATCGTTTCAGACTGGAAAGGTCCAAAAGCCAAAAGGATATGGGCAGTAGAATGATGATGGGAGGCACCATTCTATTCTTTAGACTCCTCCTGAAGGTTTTTCTCTCTCTGCTTCTGGTGTGGCATGAACTTTGGGCAGCAAAGTCTTGGCAAGGTTAGAGAAACCGGTATCAGTCCAGGAAACCTGTTAAGATCAACTCCTGTCATCTTTAACCATTGGCAGTGCCGTACTGGTTAGTATATTCTAATACATCTAGAAGTCACTATTCTTTCTCTTCTAATATTAATATCCCAAGCAACAAAAATATTTAGAAGCACTTGGTTATGTATTTATTTAATTTATATAGTGGCCATCTCACTATCGAGAGATATTCGACACAGGTTTTTACCATCAAATCAATTATGATCAAAAAGGGTGCACCTCGTCTCTTTCTTGCCCTGTGCTCCAGGCATGCCAAGTGCCCAGGACAAGGGCAGGGTGGGATGTCCGGTATGGTCCCTTGGGACCCCTGCCTCCTCTGCCTCCCCTGTGCTGCTTCCCCAGTGCCCCTCCCTGCAAATCTGGTCTGCTCTATTTCCTGCTCATTAGATTTTTATTTTGGACTAAGTTGCTTCCATCTGTTTTTTCCCCCCCTCTAAGTTCAATTTTTGAAAAGAAAGATCCAATTTCTTAAATGTTTCCCCTGTCCAGGCGTGTCCGACTCTAGGGACTGTTACTCATTTCCGTTTCTTAGCCAAGGAGCCAGCATTTTCTGAAGAGCCTTTCCATGGTCATCTGTCCAGCACGGCTATGCTGTACGTCGAAGGCAGCCAGAACGCTGTTAGCTTCCCACCAAAGTGGTAGCGATTTATTTACTCGCATTTGCATGCTTTCAAAACGCTACGTTGGCAGGAGCTGGGGCAAAGAACGGGAGCTCGCCCCGTTACGCGGCACTCGGGTTTCAAACGGGCTGTCAGCTTTCCAGCATCTTAACCGCTGAGCCTTTGCACTCCCTAAGTTCACTTTTTGAAAAGAAAAATCCAATTTGTTTTCCTGGTCTTTAAAAGAGGGAGACAAATATATTGCTATCAAGTACAGTATGTTGATATGTTGCAAACGATATATTTAGGAAGCAAGTTATGCAGAGGGAAATCTTTTGCAACTTCCTCCTTAAATTGATCAATGCCGGAGGATGTGTAAATTGGTTTAAACCGACTTGGACGGTCTGATTGCATGAAGGATGTTCCTCCCTGAAACACTGAGGATTGTCTGCTTATTCGTTTGGGTGAATAAATGCCACCTTGACTTGCGCCGAAGATTTCTAAACCATCTACCTTCTCCCCTTTTTCTCTAGGCTGCTTGTTATTTGTTTTGAAGACAAATGTGTGGTTTGCAGATTATTGCACAATTCACACAGCCTTAGTTGTCTTGGTGTCAGAGGCTTGGGTATTAATTTTCTAATGCGGTGGAAAGAGGGCAGGGTGGAGAGAGGAGTTCTGAGTTTATTTCTAAAGAGATATAAACATATAGAAACACTGGAAGCCCTCCCAATAAGAGGGAAAGAGAGTGTCAAGTCCACCATTTGCAGGTGCTGAGGGGGAGGGGGGTGGTATGCTTGGGCTTTTTTTGTTTCTGCTCTTTGCTTGGGAATTAGGGAGGGGTAAATGTCTCCAGAGATGGGATGGGTTCCTTCCCAGCTGGTTTTTGCCAGGTTCCAAGGCCGTCATGCTCGGCCTTGGGAGGGGCCGGAACGTACTTCTAGCTTCTTCATTGGGATCGATCCAGAAGAGAGTATAGCCGGTGATGAAGCCGTTCTGGTCTTCAACAGGGAGGGGACTCCACCAAACCTCAGCTGTGGACACCCCAATTTTTAGGGGATACACTTTCGGGCTGCTGGTTGGAGCTGTGGAGACAGGAAGGAATCAGAGTATGATCAACCGCAGGTCAAAGTGAAGGGTACGCTGAGCGTGGGTGGACCCATTGGGGTAAACAGAAGAGACTAAGCTTCAGTTTGCCATGAGCAGTCTCTGGAAGCAGAATAACAGAATAGCAGAGTTGGAAGGGACCTTAGAAGTTCTTCTAGTTTAACCCCCTGTTCAAGCAGGAGACTCTATACCAGGGGTAGTCAACCTTGGCTCTTTTATGACTCGTGGACTTCAATTCCCAGAATTCCTGAGCCAGCTTAGCTGGCTCAGGAATTCTGGGAGTTGAAGTCCACGAGTCATAAAATAGCCAAGGTTGACTACCCCTGCTCTATATTATTTCAGACAAAAGGTTGTCCAATCTCTTCTTAAAAACCTCCAGTGATGGAACACCTACAACTTCTGCTGGCAAGCCATTCCACTGGTTAATTGTTCTGACCGTCAGGGAGTTTCTCCTTAGTTCTAGGTTGCTTCCCTCCTTGATTAGCTTCCCTCCATTGCTTCTTGTCCTGCTTTCAGGCGCTTTGGAAAATAGGTTGACTCCCTTTTCTTGGTGGCAGCCCCTCAAATATTGAAACACTGCTATCGTGTCTTCCCAGTCTTTCTTCTCACTAGACTAAAAATACCCAATTCCTGTAACAATTCTTCATACGCTTTAGCCTCCAGGCCCCTTACCATCTTTGTTGCTTCTGAAGTGCTTCTGGTCACCCCTCAAAAAGTTTAAAACTGGATGAGCAAAAGATCTTCCTGATTCTACTGACTACTTACTAATAGCTACTCATCATGCCAGCCTCTGATAACAGCATTCAGAAGGGGAAGATGGAAGGCTTGCATTATTATAATTTTGGAGTTTAAGTTGATCATCAGGCTTAATCTGCACTACTGTTTTTCTTTTACAACCCATTCCTGGAACAACCATACCTCCAGAGATTATTGGAAATTACACAGCTTCCCCTCCCCCTCCCCTAATGTAAAATTCCAACCAAGAAATCATTTGATTGCTTTGGAGGGAGGCTGAGCTGAACCAGCCCCCATGTGGAAGACACACCTTTCTGCCTTGTGTAAGCTTCTATTGATTGGGCCACCCCAACTCTGTCTCTGTAGAGAGGGTAGACGGAGATGTTGTAGCGCTGGAAAGGTTCAATATTTTCTGAAACAGAGAAGGGGCAGACGTTAGTAATGACTGAAGGGCCGGGCTCAAGCGGGGTACATTCCCACCACCCCTTAAGCTGCTTGCTCTACTCTTGATTGTGCCCTTTCAAAACGCTGCACCACTAAACCTGCAATTATTAAGTTGTGCTGGCAAGTTGGGAAACTTTGGCCAGGTAAATGTCAGAGAGAAGATTTGCCTTCGCTCCCCAAGGGTGCCCCCTCCTCCTGCCCCTGGCAGTGGATCACCTTGGATCAGGGTTTCTCTGATGCTTTCATTCTGTAGCTTTTGCCACTCAACGTTGCTGTCTTCTGCTGCAGAGGTCACTCGGTGCCACTCAACGATGTAGCCTGTCACTGGGTTCCTCGGGGGATCCCACCACAGCCAGAAGCTCTTCTCATCGTGGGGGGATGCCCGGATCTTGAGCACAGGATGACCTGAGAACAGTATCAGAGAATGTAGCAGAACTGAATTGAATTGAATACTTTACTTGGCCAAGTGTGATTAGATACACAAAGAATTACGTGGATGGAGACTAAAACATATGAAGAATGGTTGCAAGAATTGGGTATGTCTAGTCTAGTAAAAAGAAGGGGTAACATGATAGAAGTATTCCAGTATTTGAGGGGCTGCCACAAAGAAGAGGGGGTCAACCTATTCTCCAAAGCACCTAAAGCAGAACAAGAAGTAATTGATGGATACTCAGCACGGAGAGATTCAACCAAGAACTAAGGAGAAATTTCCTGTCAATGAGAACAGTTAACCAGTGGAACGCCTTGCCTCCAGAAGTTGTGGGCGCTCCTTCACTAAAGGTTTTCAAGAAGAGATTGGACAGCCATTTGTCTGAAATGGTTTAGGATCCCCTGCTCATGCAGGGGGTTGGACTACAAGACCTCCAAGGTCCCATCCAACTCTGCTCTTCTGTTATTCTGCTACAGAGGGAGCACTTGGGTCTTGGGATGGGAAATGGCAGGTGCACAGAGAGGGCCTGGGTGGAAAAGCTAGACCAATTCCCCCCCTTCCTCAGACTTTGCCTTCAGGCTACTGGAAGCTCAAGGATAAGCAGTAGGGCCTGGTGTTAGATGCTATTGGCTTAAAGGGAAAATGTCACTACGTATGAATAATGGCTGCCTCTCTTACGGATGAGAGATGAGGTAAAGGCAACGTCACGAGGAGATGGCAGAGCATGTTTGCCTCCAGCCTAGACTTGACCGGGCCAAAGCAAGCTTCTAACTGTGAAAGAAAGCACCTCAACCACTTGCAACCAACAAAGAGCCTGTACACTATCTAGGAAAAGAGGCTTGTTTAGAAAGAAAAGGGACAAGCTTCCTGTTTTGCTTCTGCTCCTTCTCATGCGTTGTGCAATTGTTCCCTCCCGCAAAGCGCACGGTAGAGAAGCTCCCCCACAGAGAGAGGCTCTTGGAAAATCAGGCGTTGCTTGCCTTTGGCCTTTTTTCATTCGCACTCGTGCTGGCATGAACAGGCCGAGCGCTTTTTTCTGCAAAGGTCTTAAGAGGTTGCCTTCTTCTTGTCCCCAACCTGTACCAAAGCCTCTCCTTGACTCTCCCTTCCCCTGTGGCTCTTCCAGCCTCTTCCCCCTTAAGCAGTAAAGAGCTGTGGGACTTTTGAGGTGTGTAGGTACTGCAATGTACTGTGCCAAGTGTTGGATCAGAGGGGGCAGCTTCAGTCCAACACCTATTGGGCCCTGGAGGCAGGGGCAAGAGGGTCCTTGTCCCCTTTCTGCTCAGGGCGTTTTTCCAGGCACCTCTGGCTGCTTGGAGCAGAGAGAGTCTGGTTCTTTTATCTCAACTTCTTTCTCTGAACCGGTTTGGTTTCTAGAAAGACCCCTCCTGGTCCAGCCTGGATTGTCTCAAAGAGCAGCTGATCAACGGTGGCAGTAGGGGGCTATTTGGTGAAGCAGGAGAGAGCCCCCTCGACTCTCTCTATCCCAGTCAACTCTTGTTCAGTGGCTTCTGAATGTGGGTTCAGGGAACCTCAAGCATGCACTGCATCCATGTCCCCAAAACCCTCTGATCTGACTCAAGTATTTTGCTAGCCTGATAATCTTTTGGATGTGGGTTTAACGCTATTCCAAGGGAGAAACTCCCTTTGGGTGCACCTGTAATTAATAGCCTCACTACCTACGCCCAATGTAACAACTGAGTACTCCAGCAGATCACAAGAATACTCGTGAATTGCGCATTTCAGGCTGCAAAAGGAAGCCCGTTTGGTACAGTGGTGAAAGCACCAAGCCAGAAACTGTTGGACCCAGAGTTCTCATCCTGCCTTTGGCATAGGGCCAGCTGGGTGACCTTGGTCCAGTCAGGTTCCAAACTAAGCCCTTGAAGTAGGCAATGACAAACTACTTTTGAAAATCCAGGTAGTTGCCAGTAGTCAACACACACTTAAAGGCACGAAAAAATGAAAACAAACTGAATAGCAGATTCACAGAAACAGGATACCAAGTCCGTCTACTTCCTACCTTTTTTCTCCAGCAAGAAGATCTCCGTGGCTTGAGATGCACCTCTAGAGTTGTAGGCTGTGAGATAAACCCTTTCGGCTCCTGGTGGCATCAAAAACGTGCATTGCCTCTCGGTGGTGTTACACAGAGAGGGTGAGTGGCCCGTGTGCTGACCGGTGCTGAGTGCTGCCCAGTATCCCAGGATTCTGCCATTGGCCTCATGTGGCTTCATCGGCTGTAGAACAAGACAAAGGCAGCTGGAAATGAAGCCCCTGAAATCTGCAGCGCCTATTGTCTGCGTCCACACAGCACGCTTAATCAGAGTAGCAGAAGAGCTAGAGTTTGCATTTGTACAACACACTAATCTTTGTTTTCACTGTAGCCAGCCTTCTTGTGGCTTTGTAGGTTTTGAGAGTTCAGGACAGTTGGAATAATTGGCTTGCGTGAACCAAGTTTGGAAATGGGTTAGTGCAATATGGGTAATCCTCGACTTACAACCATTTGCTTACTGCCCAAATGGTTAGTAAAAGCTACAACGGCACTGAAAAAAGTGACCTAGGACTATTTTTCACAACCAGCATTGCAGGATCCCTGAAGTCACGTGATCAAAATTTGGATGCCCGGGAACCGGCGTGTATTTATGATGACGGTTGCCGTGTCCTGGGTTTGTGGGATCCCTTTTTGCGACCTCCTGACAAGCAAAGCCAATGGGGAAGCCGGATTCACTTAACAACCATGATACTAACTTAACAACTACAGTGATAAATTTTGGAGTCAGTTGTGGCTGTACGTTGACTACCTCTGATAAGATTACCCAGCCCCTTCCCGCTCCTGCTGTGTTGCCTGAGCGTGGTCTCCTCCCGAGAGCATCTGCTGGAGTAAACTTGCCTTGAGTCCTGCCCAGTGAGGCCCCTGCTTACCTTCCAGAGCAGCTGCACCTCCGTCCCCTTCTCGGCCTTTCGCAGTTTCCACCAGGCATCAAGACTTCCTGAAGGTGCTGTGGGAGAAAAAGAGGCTTCAGGACCATCAGCATTTGGCCCTGTTCCTTCAAAGCAACCAAGCTTAGGAGAGTGAAGACTAGCTCAGCCTCCACTGCCATCAGCCATGATATGATACAATCCTTCATTGGACAGAACTGTGTTCTAGTTCACTGAGAAGATGCACTCTGGAAGTGGTTCCTCAACCCCCATGGGCCAAATCCTGAGACGAGAGAATGGCTCGGAGGCTGTCCTGTCCCGATGCCCTGGCTATCCCGGTGACTTAGGGGGCTTGGCTATCTATGGGGAGGGGCAGCTGCAGGACTCCTCCGCCCCTTCCCCACCTTTCTCCTGTGTAGTGAAGAGCTTGGCCGGGCTCCAGCTGCTCCAGTAGCTGAGGGGCAGACGCCTGCAGCGCATCTGGAAGTGGTAGAGGCTGCCAAAGAGGAAGCCGCACTGCTGGATCTGCCGGCTGGAGGTGGTGATGTTGTGGACCTGGGATGAAAGGGAGAATGGCAGAAGCATGGAAAGGCTCCTTCCCTTGCCGCCCCCTCCTCCCCCGACCCACAGGACCCTCCAGCCTATGGGAAGAGGCCAGAAATGCTTTGAGTAAAAAGGCCTTTGGCTGGACGGAAGAGGACAGGGCCAAGGGGTTATGGGTGGCTACCAGAAAGGGCCCGATGCCTGAAGAAGAGGGCTTGGGGGCAGGGACAGAAGGGAAAGCCAGGCCAAGGGGGCCTTGATGGTGCCCCCGAGGGGTCCTACCAAGCGAAGCCATTCTGCTGTCAAGCCAAAGAGGGACTCACAAGACTCCACTCCAGGCTGCCTTCCAGCTGATAGCGCAGGTCACAGCCCTGTTCCATGAATTTGCTGTCCTTTCCTGCCTTCCATTTTACCATCAGGCAGTCGCTCTCCTCAGAGATGAGCTGGATGTCCTGGATGGTCGGGGGCTCCAGCCAGGCTGGAATGAACAATTTGGGGTGAGAGAGAGCTTTGTACTTTGTTTAAAGTATTTTAATGCCAACCTCCAAAGTTATCCCAAGGGTAGGTAGCAAGAAGAGTGAAATCACCACCCTAAATAATAAAATCAAAAGGCAGCAACAGGAAAGAGCCTTTGGAGAGGAAGGGAAGGGATGAAAGAGGCGTGTCGGATGCCTAGCAGACATCAGCAGACAGTGGTGCCTTTGGTGGCTACCAAGGGGATGTTTGTCAAAAGTGAGATCTTGGATCTTTAGGGTGATTTGGAACAGATTTTCTCCCTCCCTCCTTGACCTTTGGAAACCATGAATGGGTCTGAACATGTCTAGACTTTAATGAAGCCCCACCCATCTTTAGAGGATGAAGAATGGACCACCCAAAGAAAGCTGTGCGCCATTCCAAAAAGTGTCATAGTTGTTGGATGTTGCTATGAGATGCCAGGGTGGAGAGAAAAGAGGAGGACAGCAATCATTCTGCCTTCTTCCTTCCCAGAGGTGGGGGTTTTTTTTTGGTTGGTTGGGGAACGGGGAGGATGGGGTCTCTCTCCCTGGGCATCCCAACGTTCTTTGTTTTTCCTTGAAGACGTTTCGCTTCTCATCCAAGAAGCTTCTTCAGTTCTGAACTGAAAAAGTTCCTTGGATGAGAAAGCGAAACATCTTCATGGAAAAAGCAAGGAAGTCCAGTTGCTTCTTGAAAAAGAAGCAACTGGACTTTGGGACAACCACGGCCTGGAGGACGGAAAATCCCCCTGGACAGAACCTCTCTGGGCAGTTCTTTCGGGCTGAGTGACTTGCAAGGAGCAGCCTTCCTCCCAGCTCAGGGAGGGACCGAAACCTTCCAGGCAAGACAGATTGCTTCTCATTTTGGCCTCTAAATCAGGGGTAGTCAACCTTGGCTCTTTTATGACTCGTGGACTTCAACTCCCAGAATTCCTGAGCCAGCTGTGCTGGCTCAGGAATTCTGGGAGTTGAAGTCCACGAGTCATAAAAGAGCCAAGGTTGACTACCCCTGCTCTAAATGAACACATTGCAACTCTCCCGGCTTCTCACCCACATCTATGGATTCAGCCCCATTCGCTAGAAAAGAGGGCAGGGATGAGGGCACCCACCTAAATCCATGGGGTCTGCACACAAGAGCTCCGAGGTCGCGTTGCCCAGGGCATTTTCCACAGACACCCAGAAAAGCATTTTTTGATACAGCTGCAGCTCCAGGCGTTGAAAAATGCAGGAGTGCCGGCCAGGCTCAGGGATGCAATCTGCGATGGGGTCCAGGGCCTTGCACTCCCTCGAGCTCCTGAAACACCAAGAAGAGCTATCGGGTGGGGGGGTTGGGAGAGGAGCTATGCTCGCAGCTCCCTGGGATGCGCAGAGAGTCCAGTGGAATGCAAGACCTTATTAAAGGGAAAGTGCCCATCCCTGGCAGACATTATTCCAAGGAGGAAGGGACTCAGTTAAGCCAAAAATCCTGGTTATTTGTTTTTTTACAAGTTAATGGTCAGGAAGAATGAGAATGAAGAAAAGCAGACTGCCCCCCCCCCTCCCCGTTGGCCCTCGCCTGACTGCAACGGTTCATCTCCTGTCCTTACCGGAATCCCTTCAGGGCCACACGGGTTGGGAGGAGACTGTCCCTCCCAGGGTCCCACTGGCACGCCAGGTTCTTGGAGGTAATGTTGAAGATGCAGGTGAGGTTCTGAGGCTGGGATGGAGGGTCTGCTTGGCATTCACATGCAATGAGAAAAGAGAAGCGAAAAAGTTTTCAGCCTCATGATGACAAGGGTGCAGGCAGACAGTCCTGCAGCTTTGAGGGATTCACATATTGCATTGTCATAATGCAATCCAAGTCTCAAAATTTGTTGTTCCTGACTGGTGACTTGTTCGAACACACAAGTGTCACTTCCGCTGTCCCTCCCACCATATGACTGGCATTTTATATGAGCCAGAATTTCCTATCTAACATGCAGCATCCATCAACGAGAGCAGAGAAGTTTATTTGTTCTTGTGCGGGTGCAGGCTTTCTGTTCTGCCCAATATAGCCAGCTTGTTAGGATGTGAATCTGCTGCTAAGTTCAGTTTTAGATTTATTGGACAACCCCCCATCCCCCCCCCCACACACAAAATGCCTTTCTATGGCATTGCTTGGAAGTCATTTCGTTAACTTAAAAGATTTACTTATGGCCAAAGGTTGAACTTTGATTTCTGTTCTCTGGAAGGAAGTAATGGTTATCCAGCATTTTATCTGGCATCTCCCTGTCACCTGTAGCTTGGCTTCCTTGTTGAAGCCATCTCAAGTGACATCATCACTTTAATGGTATTCCTTAATGCAATAAAAATGGCCTTTCTGTAGATTTGGTTAGGATTGGGATCTCATCACACACCAAACTAGTGATTCTCCATCACAACAATTTTGAGAGGTGTGGTCTTCAACTCCCAGAATTCCTTGCAATGGCCACACTGCAATGGCGAATTCTGGGAGCTGAATTTCACACTTCACAAAGTTGCCCAAATTAGGAAACCACCAGTGTCCAATGGTAAATGTTTGAAGCCATCTCTGCTGGCTTCGTTGCTACCATCAGAATGGGCTACCATTTCAGACAAATGGTTGTCCAGACCTCCAGTGATGGAGGACCCACATCTTCTGAAGGCAAGTTGTTCCACTGACTAATTGTTCTCATTGTTAGGACATTTCTCCTTAATTCCAGGTTACTTCTCTCCTTGATCAGTTTCCATCCATTGCTTCTTGTCCTGCCTTCGGGTGCTTTGAAAAATAGGTTGACCCCCCTCCTCTTTGTGGCAACCTCTCAAATACTGGAATATTGCTATCATGTCCCCCTTTGTCCTTCTTTTCACTGGACTAGCCATGCCCAGTTTCTGCAACTGTTCTTTGTATGTTTTAGCTTCCAGGCTCCTAATCATCTTAGTTGCTCTTCTCTGCATTTTTTTTTCCAGAGTCTCAACGTAATTTTTGTAATGTGATGACCAAACCTGTGTGCAGTATAAATGAGTAGGAATGTCTTCAGAGGGTCGTAAAAGACGGTGGCTGCAAAAATGTGATCCAAACTCCTTCGTGGCCACTATTTTGACTTTTTTTTAAAATCACATCCTGCTCATAAGGAATTTTGGTTTTAGTGTTGGATTATTAGTTCTATTATTGATTATTGCCTGTTACGATTCATAAACAGGCAGTACAAAGAAGCAAAGGTTTCTTTATAATCACTGCACGGTGGAGATTCCCGTTTGGATCCCTGCAGCGAGACTTACATCCAGCCTGGATCTGGGTAAGGTTCACAATCTGTGGGATGCCGTGTTCCTGCATGTAGCAGCTCAGGGGAGTCACAGGTTCCTTGAAGGGGCCGATGGTGATGTTGGAAACTTCCACTCCATTGCTGAAGCTCTTCTGGGATCCTTGAAGTTGTTGGTTGCCCAATTTCCAAATAATCTGGATTCTGCTACCCTTTGTAACGGGGCAGTGGTTTCTCCAGATGGTACAAGAAGCTGTGATATTTCCTCCCAAGATGACAGCTGAGGAGTTGACAGTCAAGTGACTGCAGGAGAGGGACCCTGCTGAAGAGGGAGAAAAGACTTGGAAGCAATGGATGGCAAAGTGCTGGGCGACTGGCTGGCTGCCAAAAGTGGCGGCCTGCCCTTTCCCCATGGCTGCCCCTGCCAGGGCCCACGAGCACCTACCTCCTGGCATCCAGAGGAGCAAAAGAGCGCATCCCAGCATCTTTGACCAGGGTTCCCACGTGCTTCTCATGATTTGGCTCAGGCAACGTAACATTTAATCCTGCAATTTACAGAAAGAGACATTCAGGCAGCTTCCAGCCCTTTGCCCTAAGGCCTGCCCCTCCTGCGGGATTTGGCTGGCTCTGGACATGGATGACCGGTAGGAACACAGCCTGGGGCTGACTGTGGGGCCCCAAAGAGGAAGGCGGTAAAAGGCTAGGATTTCATCCTCTTTTTGTGTACCCACACAAAGGGGCATTAGCACCTTCTTGACAACATCCTGGGCTTCTCTGTGCCTCTGCCTGCTGTGGCATCAAGTTTCACTACACTAAAAATATTGTTGAGTTGGTGGTTCTACATTCTGGGGTTGCCCATTCAAGAAATAATAAAAAAATAAAAAATATTTGTCTAGAATTTTAACATAGTCACCGAATGATCTGCATTCTAGGCTAAACATATTCAACTTGCTTTTCTTTGGCAGACCCAGTCTGAGCCTTGCACCTTTTTGTCTGGTTTCCAGCTTTTGGGCATCAGCATGAAGCTGCTAAAGCTAAGCTGAATTCTCCAGGGAAGGACCAATTAGCATATGCAGAATATCGCTAATGTACCATAACCTGCCCATTGAGACTGAAGTTACATAGTCACTGCCTCACAGGGATGGCTCATGGCCTCTTAAAAACTCTCCAGCCCCTTTGGCATGATCCTGTGCCAAGCTAGGCATCACCTCTCTGAACTGAGTCTTCCCACTGAGTACAGAATTTTGCCTTTATCTCTGAGGATTGTCTGGTGGGTTAGTGTGGTGATCTGCCCAGAGATCTGGGCTGGGCATGAGGCAAGTGGACGATCACTTAACCATGAGCCAGCAGTGTGTAGCCGCCGCCGCCAAAAAAAGCTAACACAATCCTGGCTTGTATAAACAGAGGCATAGATTCGACATCAACATATTTATTAAATTTATACGCTGCCCATCTCAATCTGCAAAGCGACTCTGGGTGGAGTTACAGTCTGCTGCTCGTCTGAGATGCTTCGGCAGCTGCAGGACTGCCGGAGGGAGTGGAAGGGAGCTGACACAGGACCGGGCGGGTGACTAGAGTGTTCACCAAAGGTGGCTTTTGTGTCCAGGGATGGGCCCTCTTCCCCTAGCACTGCTCGACATAAGAAGCGTGAATTCAAAGCAGTGGCTTGTTTCGGGAAGCCGTCCCACCTGGTCCTGACCCAGGAATCCCTATAGATCTTCATCCTGGAAAGGACGGTGCCCAACTCCAAGAAAGCATCCGGCTATATGTGGGCACGTACATCATGGAAACCCGAACCACAGACAACTGGGTGGACTGCACACTGCTGTGTTGCTTTCCTCCTTAAGCCTCTGCTTCTCCTTCCCCTTTCTTTCCCTTTCCAATTTCTCTACTGCCTTTATTTTTATTTTTATTTTATACTATGGCAATCTTAACAAAAAAAGGAAGAAAGGCAAAGAAAATTTGACAGCAGACTGGACCACCAGCCCTTCCAGTTGAGGTGGCCTGGAGATTTGTCTGCCTGGAAGTGTGACTCTCCACCTATCAACTAGGAGGATCCTGAGCAACGCTTATCACCCCCACCCTTGAAAATGCTGTCAAATTGAATCCCCCCCTCCATTCTATCTTTGCAACAGGAGCCCCCCAGCTGAAACCAGTAGGCAAAAAGGGATCAGGCATCTCAAGGATCTGGCTTGGTTTGGTGATCCTGCCAGAGCAACTTCCCAGCTGCTCCTAGCCAGCCATTTTAGTTGCAATCCGGCCTCCTGGCATGCAGCACCCCATCGCCCCCCGTCCCCACATGGCTGTGGCTGGGCACTCAGCAAGTGGCACCTTGCCAAACCCTTGCCATCTGGCTGCTCCTCAGTCCGGCAAGACTTTAGCGGCAGCTGCAGGCAAAAGGCACACAGGCACCCCTGTTGGCACACAGCTACACTCTGTGCGTAGCCGCGGCACGTAAGGTGGTGCGAGGGTCCCTGGAAAGATGGAAGAGGCTGCGATGCCCAGCCCTTACCTTAGGCCAGTTCAGGTGCCACAGCTCTGCTCCCTGGAGAGGACTCCTCTGCCAGCGAGCTGCCCTGCTTCCCCTGGAGGAAAAATGATCCTCCCACCGCCAAAAGCTGTCGTTATTCTCTCTCTCCGAGCAAGGTGATTGCAAAATGCTGCTCAAGGCTTTTATCTGCCCAACTCTCAGGAAGGAAGGAACTCTGTGGCTGACCAGCAAACACACAGGGTGTGCACACTCCTCCTTTGGCTTCCCCCTCCCTCCTGGCTTTTATAGAGCCTGGCCCAGCGTAGTGCTGGTGGAGCAATCCACACCTTCGTGGCCCCCACGGGCTGAGCCTGCTCAGAAATTGGAAGAGCCACGTGTGGGTGGGCGCCACGTGTCTAGTGTTCTGGATGAGATAGGATGGGCTGGCCTTGTCCTTTCCCCAAAGAGTTCAATATTTCACAGAGATTAAAAATGTGACAAGGATACAGGTAGTCTTCAAACTGAGCCCAAAGTTTGTGTTGCTGAGACAGTTGTTAAGTGAGTTTTGCATCATTTTATGCCCTCTCTTGCCACAGTTGTTAAGTGGATCACTGCAATTTTTAAGTTAGTAACACAATGAATCTATCTTTCCCATTGAGTTTACTTGTCAGAAGGCCATAAAAGGTGATTATGTGGCCCCGGGACACTGCAACTGTCATAAATATGTGACAGGACTCTTTTTTCAGTTCCATTGTCACTTCAAATAGTCACGTCGAGGACTATCTATAACTTGGCTGCGTTCAAATGACGTCCTTAACCCGGACAGGTCTGGATCCATCCGAGGCTTGTGCCCATCACCACAGGCTCGGTAGGTGTTAATGGAAAGTTTTTTGTTTCTTTTAGAGGTTGGGTGAATCTGGTCCATCCGAAGATTGCTTGGTCATTCAGGAACCTGGTTGAGTCTGTTGTGTGAATGAGGCCTCGGCTGCCCTCCAGTGCAGAGCTGTTACTCAGAGACAAGAGGCAAAGCTGACCCAGGGCAGAAGGAGGAGGACAGATGTCCTGCTGGGATAGAGCTGAGCCAAGCCCCCCATGGCTGCTGAGAAGGTCCGGCAGGGGAAAGGATGGGCCGTGATTGGGAAAAGCGAGCTTATTGCCCAATTCCACACGACTGTCAAAGTTTCATTTGCCGAGCAAGAGGTTGTTTATTGCATCATTTGGTGGTATGCTCACTGCAGGCAGGAATGGTTTCCACTAGCCTTTGAGAGAAAAGAAGCTAGTCCTCAGTGACCACTCCTCTGAGCTGGACATACGATCATCTGTGCCTTGGCCATGGAAGTGGTGGATTCATCAGGCTCACTCTGTACCTCATACAAGAACTTTAGGACAGATATTCCTTCCAAAAATACCATCGGTTCCACGGATCAGTTCTTTTTAGAGGAGCAGGTGTAGCGAACACTTTGGGACGATCCTGGCTGACTCAGGAATTCTGGGAGTTGAAGTCCACGAGTCATAAAAGAGCCAAGGTTGCCTACTCCTGGTCTACCAGAATGTGTTAATTTGGTGGATTACCACTATGGGTGGGGGATCTCAGAAGCTTCAGTGGCCTAGAGAACGGCATCAGTGGAAGTGGGAGCTGTGGCAGGCTTGTTCATGCTGCTCATGATGAAAGGGAAGACAGAGGAAGGCGGGTGTGCTCAGCTAGCATGAAGAAAGGCAACTTCAAACGTCAAATCAAACTAAGGGAAAAAGACAAAAGGCAAAAAAAATCTACCTTATATTATAGTATTTTATACAGATCAATGGTCACTAGTTTACTAATGAATTCTTTTGTCATTGTTCTGACAGACAGAGACAAATAAAGCAGAACTCTGAGGCTTGAAAATTCCTCAAAGAACATGTTTATTAGTTACAAAGTACTGGCATGGTCAAAAGTGAAACCAAGTCTGAATACACAAGTAACAATTACCCAATTACAAAGTATAATGGCCCACCCACAAAACTATGCAAGCAAACTACGTTCCCCAATATATTCACTTGGCGGGAGCAGTAGATGACCTTGGTTCCCATGAGACAGAAGCACCTGGGCAACCCCCCCTCCCTCCTATGTGGCAACCTAGAACGAGAAGAAAAATGGCTGCGGCGACACTCATTGTAGAGTTGACATCACTACTATAAAATGAACAATGCAAAGTATTATTCTAAGATATCAGAACAGCCATAGTAACCTAACATCTATTATTGAATTCTTCCATTAGCAGATATATTAGATAGTAGATTCTGCCTTTTCCAAAATATTACCAACAGCCAGTCATTGATATAGAACAATAACAGAGTTGGAAGGGACTTTGGAGGTCTTCTAGTCCAACTCCTTGTTCAAACAGGAGACAAATGGCTGCCCAATCTCACTGTCAGGAAATTTCTCCTTAGTTCTAGGCTGGATCTCTCTTTGATAAGTTCCATCCATTACTTCTTGTTCTGCCCTTGAGTGCTTTGGAGAATAGGTTGACTCCCTCTTCTCTATAATATTGTAACACTGCCGTTATGTCACCCCTAGTCCTTCTTTTCATTAGAGTTAGACATAGAGTAGAGCCAATTCCCACAACCATTCATCGTATGCTTTACCCTCCAGTCCTCTAATCATCTTTGTTGCTCTTCTCTGCACTCTTTCCGGAGTCTCAACATCTTTCAACATTGATTCTGGTTTGTTATGAGGCATCCCGCTAGGCTATGAAGGGCATTCAAGAGGCTCCATAGGCTCTGAAGTCATCTGTGGGGCAAGAGTGAACGGAAGATACCCCACGAGACCACAGAACGTGCTAACTGGAACATGGAGTTGGCAAGAAGTCTTTTACAAGGTTTCCAACAAGGCAGCATGAGTCACTTCCCATAACAGAAAACCTGTTGCAAGCCCCACAGCTGAAGAGCACATGGGTCAAAGGC